CCTTGATCGATTAATGATCAATAGGATCAACCACCACCTATACAGTAAGGGTCTGTTAAACCAAAATCAGTTTGGGTTTGTCCCAAAGAAGTCTACTAGCCATGCACTCTTTAGCACTCTGCAATTCATACTCAAGGCTTGGAAAGACTCTAAACACGTGCTTCTGGTGTCTATTGACTACCAGAATGCTTTCAACTCCCTGTGGTGGCCGGCACTCTTCCTTCAACTAAAGAAATTCAGTTGCCCAAAAAACTTGTTCATGCTTTTAAAAGACTACTTAAAAGACAGGAAAGTGGGTATCTTCGAACTGGACCAGGCCATAATACAGCCAATGACCAGGGGGTGCCCCCAGGGCTCTTGCTCTGGCCCTGGTCTTTGGAATATCATGCACGATGGGATATTAAACCTTAATATCACTAATATTAGCGTCGATTGGAAAATTCAAACATACGCAGACGATACTCTGGTCCTTCTTGCTAGTAACAATAGTGAGAAGATGCAGAAAGAAGCAGACAAGTTATTGCAAGAGATCAACAAATGGAGCAGCAATAACAAATTGAAAATCAATATCAGAAAATCCTCTTGTATGTTAATGTCAAAAGGTGCTCAATTAAAAAAGCCACCATCAGTTCACATTAATGGAATAAGGATCCCACATGTTACGGAACTCAAGTACCTGGGTCTAGTCATAGATCAAGGCCTTAAATGGAACCCACACATAGATCATATATATAATAAAGCCTCTAAAATATCCAACCTCCTGGGCTTCCTGGGAAGGAAAACCTGGGGTCTTCGCAGTACCAACCTGACCACTATATACAAGCAGGCAATAGAGCCTATGGTCTTACATGGGGCTCCTATTTGGGGCAAGGTTTCTGATAAAGTGCACATAAAAAGGGTTCTGCTTAAAATTCAACGGATAAATCTACTCCATATCACCGGGGCCTACAAGACTACTTCAAATGCTGCATTGCAGGTTATTGCTGGCATAGTTCCTTTGCATATACAGGTTAAATCTAATTGGGCCTATTGGAGGTTAAATAACCTGAAAGTTCCAGAGCACAAGGTTAAAGATCTACACAAATATCTCGACATTGGTTTCCTGCCAAACTTAAATATCGACGATTTCCTTAGTATGGACCACAACACGGACATCTCTCTCAGTCGGCCACCCAGGTTTCATCCCAGCAGGACCATTTTCAGCGATACAGACATCACGGTCAGGAATCAGGCCATTCAGTACTCTATTTTCACCGACGGTTCTAAGTCGGACCATGGTGTAGGGGCAGCCTTTGCGTGCTACAAAAATAAAAACAACAATCCTTTTTTCATAGATTCCTTCCGTCTGGAGAACTATTGCACAATCATGCAAGCCGAGCTGGTTGCAATTTACAAGGCCTTGAGTTATATCAACGCCACAGAGGAACTATCCAAAAAAAGTGTGCACATTTTCACTGACAGTCAAGCAGCCCTTTCTGGCTTGCACAACTTCAATTTTAAAAACAATGAGAGCATTCACACACAAATTATGGATGAAATCATGGCCAACAGAGGTAATATTACACTACATTGGGTGCGTGCACACACGGGCACTGTAGGCAATGAAACCGCGGACAAGGCTGCCAAAGAAGCAACTAAAAGTTCTAAAACTCCCTGTTACAGAGAAATTCCTAAAGTGGCCCTTAAAAGACTGATTTATTCAACGTCACTCAAAATGTGGCAGCGCTCGTGGGAAGAGGCGGATACTGGACGTACGACTTTTCGGCTATTACCAGATATAGTTCAAAGACTCAAATCCAAATATCTAACGGTCAACTACATTACCAGCCAGCTGTTGTCGGGGCACGGCAACTTTTTGGCTTATTTGTTCCGTTTCAATCACTGCGATTCACCGTGCTGCCCATGTGATCATCGCACCAGCCAGGACACCTTTCACCTGATTTTTCATTGTGCTACCTTTGACAACCAAAGGACCAAGTTGATTAATACGGTACTTTTCGAAGGCCACAATTGGCCTTGCAATCCGGACATACTACTTTCCAACAAGAACATTTATAACGAACTCTATTCCTTTATTAAGGAAATTGGCGTCCTCGATTTGAGGAACAACCCTGTGTAAATAACTCTCTTGTATTATTTTTGTTATAGTTTATTTTGTTAATTAAATACTGTTATCTGTTCTCGCCTACATGCTAGTCGCATGTCTTTTGTATTTGATGTATTGTTGTTATGTACCTGTCTTTTGTTTTTATTAATAAATAGAACCCGACGCGGGCGCTTGCGGGGTCCCATGGGGGGCTCCCTGGTTGCATTACTCTACTTTTCATCCCCTTTCCTACCAGCTTTTCTTCCTCCTTCACCTCTTCCCTCTTCTCCCCTTCTCTCTCTTTTCACACCCGGGAAATACCTATGAGTGATCCCGGGTTTTTCATCTCCTATTTATAGAATGTCTATAGCAAGGGGAGTCGTCGAGCTGGTAGGACGTGGTGAACATCGCTCCTGATTTCGATCGCCGCATCGACGCTAATATCGATCAATCCGAGGATTATTGTATACCGATTTATTCAGCTAAAGGTAAGCTTTCGTCTATCGTTTATANTCCAGCTTAGAGCGGACAAGGGCCCTATAAATTCTGAGCATAGAACATTTGTCTGCTCCCCAGGATGAGCAGCACAGTACCTTTAAAAGGTTTAGAGATTTTAGACATCTACTCTTCAGGTTGCGCAAGTGCGGCAAAAATGTCAGTTTATGGTCGAACAAAATGCCCAAAAATTTTGCTTCGTTCACATTTGGGATTTTTACCCCATTTAGGTAAATTTCCGGATCCAGGTGCAAACCACGCCTTCGGCAAAAGTGGATGCACGAGGTCTTCTCTGTGTTAAAAGTAAAACCATTAGTCTTGGACCAATGGTCTGTACGATTTAGGGAGGATTGCAGTTGTCTCTCGATAAAACTCATGTTGCTAGACTGGCAGGAGATCTGAAAGTCATCCACATACAAAGAGTGTTTCACACTAGGAGGAAGACAGTTAGCTATGCTATTAATTTTAATTAGGAACAGAGTCACACTCAAGATAGAGCCTTGAGGAACACCTTCTTGTTGTGCGAAAGGCCTAGATAAAGTGTTGCCCATCCTGACTTGGAATCTTCGATTCTCTAAAAAGTGTTTTATAAAAATCGGTAAATTATCCCGCAATCCGAATTGGTCCAGATCACGGAGTATCCCGTATCGCCAGCAGCGATCGTAGGCCTTCTCTATATCAAAAGACACAGACACTAAGTGCTGTCGTCTAACAAACGCTTCGCGTATAGATGTTTCAAGGTTTACTAGGTTGTCAGTGGTACTTCTGTTCCTACGAAAACCACTCTGATATGGTGAAAAGTATTCATTTTTCTCTAAGAGATACATCAGACGTCTGTTTACCATCCTCTCAAAGAGTTTACACAGGCAACTTGTCAGAGAGATTGGTCTGTAATTTGAGGGATTCTTGTGGTCTTTACCAGGCTTGGGAATGGGAATAATGATCGATAGCCTCCAAGAGTCAGGAAAAGTGTGTTCTGTCCATATTCTGTTAAACAGATTCAAAAGATTACAAAGAGAATTGTTTGACAGATTTTTAATCATGCTGTAGTGGATTTTATCCGGGCCTACAGCACTATTCCCCGAGCGAGACATCGCTGTATGTTGTTCTATGCTGGTGAATGGCACATTATATTCCTCATTAGATGAGGAGTGAAAGTTTAAATATTGTTTTTCACTTTGGGCTTTATAAGCCTGAAAACTTCTTGAATACATAATATTGCTTGATGATGTAGAAAACGTTTCACCCAACGTATCAGCAATACCCTGTATATCGCTGATTATTGTGCCATTATTTTCTAGCATGGACAGAGAGTGAGAAGCATATTTCCCATTGATTTTATGGATTTTATCCCAGACTGCTTTTGAGCTAGTGGAAGATGTTATGCTAGAAACATACTTCCTCCAAGAATCCCTTTGGCTTTGCCTTCTTATTCTTCTGGCATTTGCCTTTGCTTTTTTAAAAGCAATCAAATTACTAGCAGTGGGATATCTTCTGAAAATCCCCCATGCTTTCTTTTGTGCTTTAAATGCTGCCTCGCAATCCTGGTTCCACCATGGTTTAGGATGTTTCGGATACCTAGTTGATGTTTTCCCCATTGTTTTTTCGGCTGCCTGAATAATACTGGAAGTGACAACTTCAACTGCATCATTGATGTCAGCAGCATTGACCATTTCCTCAGTGATGTTAGCCAAAGAGGAAAAAGCAGACCAATCTGCTGTTTCGAGTTTCCAGCGTGGTGGACGGGCTGTTTCACAGCTTTCTCTGCCTTGATATTTTAAAAATATTGGGAAGTGGTCACTAGAGAGTGGATTAGATCCAACCTCCCATGTAAATGTTGAAAACAGATTCGGAGTTGCTAATGATAGATCAATGGCAGTGAAGGTTTTTGATGGGGCATGGAAGTATGTCACTTCTCCAGTATTAAATAGATACAGTTGGTGGTTGCCAATAAATCTCTCAATGGCTCTGCCACGACGGTTGATGTCGGGACTGCCCCACATAGGATTGTGGCCATTGAAATCTCCAAGTACAAGAAATGGTGTTGGCAGCTGTTCAACCAAAGTATCCAATTCATTCTCATTCACTCTGACATCTGGTGGCAAGTATATATAGCAAACTGTGACAGTTACTCCAATAGATATTCTGGCTGCCACAGCTTGCAAATCAGTAGTTATTTGCACCGGTAAGGATGGAATGTGATTTGAAACCAAAATAGCCACACCGCCACTGGCACGGTTGTGGCTATCATCATCCTTGCGGTAGAGATCGAATCCTTTTAAGGTAGTTCTTTCTCCAGGTTTCAAATGGGTCTCCTGGAGTGCCACGCAGAGAGATGAGGTAGATGATGTCAGGTGTTTAATGTCAGAGAAGTTGTTGCGGAAACCACGACAGTTCCATTGGATTATTTTATAATCCATTATGTGTTTGAGGCAGTATTCTTAGAAAAAGTGTCCCTCTTTAGTTTAACTGATGATTTTCCTTTTGGAGGTGACGTTGGTTTGGTTACCTCCATATTATTCTCTTCATCAGAGATATCAGAGAACTCACTCATGGACTGAGCCTCTGATTTTTTAGATTTAGAGAGAGCAACTTTCACTCTCTGTTTGTTTAGCGGGTTCTTGCTTGCCTTTTTTGAACCCACGTTTCTCGTTATTACCCCTGTTTTAGGTAGGGGCGTTTTAGTTTTTGTATTCTCCTTTGTTGTTTCTTCTGATGGTAGTAATAAACATTTCGCATGGCGAGTAAGAGATTCCTTTGGGCAAACAGAAATATCTGTTTGAACCCCTATTGTCTTTGTAGACTTCAAAGCAGCCGCAAAACTCTTCTGTTTCAAAGAAGCGCTTGGGTTGACCATGCGTCGAGCCTCTGGATAGGATATATTGTTTACAGTTTTCACCCGCTGAATCTCTTTCTCTCTCTGCCATGCAGAGCATTTACGAGAGTAGGCAGGATGGGCATCGCTGCAGTTTACACAGCGTGGAGTACTGGTGCACTCAGTACTCTGGTGGCCTTCAATTCCACACTGTGCACATAAGCTTTTGCCACGGCAGGAGGTCTGGGAATGTCCAAATCGCTGGCATTTGAAGCAACGCAGCGGATTTGGAATATACGGTCGAACTGGGCAGCGCAGGTATCCTGCTGTAATGAAGGATGGCAATGACGGTTTTCCAAAGGTGAGAATAAGGTGCTTAGTTGGTATCAACTTGCCGTCTCGACGGATCGAAATTCGTCGAACGGCAGTGACACCTTGGTCCGAAAGACCGATCTGAATGTCTGATTCATTTTCAGACATCAGATCGATTTCAGATATCACACCACGTGATGAGTTCAGACTTGTGTGTGGTGTGGTAGTGACTTGTATGTCTCCTAGCGATTTCATTTTCATAAGCTTTTCAGACTGTTGAGGGGAGGCTGCCTCTACAAGCAGGTCTCCTGACCTCATCTTTTGGATTTTTTTAAGATGCCCAATGGATGATTCAAAAAGTTTCTGAATCAGAAAGGGGGAGCGTTTAGAAAGTGGTGTTTCTCCCGTAGCATGCACGATGAGATAAGATGGTTGGTTAAAGGAACTGTCCTCCTTTAATGGCGGAGCATTGGTACATAATTTTTTGGGTTTTAATGGATCCATATTTAAGAATAAGTATTCAGCTCCTAGTGACCCCACCCACCATGGGGCCCAACAAGGGGATGCCGTCACATGGGAGACTCCCATAGATCGTCACACCAGGGTTTCCCAGAAGCTATACCCTCACAATGCAGTCAAGAAGAGCACATCTTGTATGACATGTCTGCCCGGTCTGCATCGATCGGTTGACTCCAAGCCGAGGTCAAGAATGACTCAACAACCAGCCGATTGACTCAAACAAAGCCTGATTTGAGCCTCCCGTTTATCCGAAGCAAGGGCCAAAGCAGTGTGTTGGGGACGTTATGTTGCCCCTCAACTACCAGGATCCCCCTTTCCGGCATACGGGACACCACGCACGGCAAACACGTGGGTGGGCGTTCAGATCCCAGGGATGGTAAAGAAGAGATACTAAACCATCTCTGGGAGGTCCCCTCACCACGGACAGGAACCCACATCGAGGGGTTTACTAAATTGTCTGTGGTAGTTCTGTTCCTACGAAATCCACTCTGGTGTGGTAAAAAGTAGTTCTTTTCCTCTAGGAGAAACATCAGGCGTCTGTTTACCATCCTCTCTAGGAGTTTACAAACACAACTTGTCAGAGAGATTGGTCTGTAATTAGAGGGATTCTTGCAATCTTTGCCTGGCTTGGGAATGGGAATAATAATAGATAGCCTCCAAGAGTCAGGAAAAGTTTGTTCTATCCATATTCTGTTAAACAGATTCAGAAGATTAGAAAGGGAATTATTTGACAGATTTTTAATCATGCTATATTGGATTTTATCCGGGCCTACAGCAGTATTCCCCGAGCGAGAAATCCCTGTATGTAGTTCTGTGCTGGTGAATGGCACATTTTCATTCTTCATTTAATGAGGAATATAATTTAAATTTTGTTTTTCTCTTTGTGCTTTATAAGCTTGAAAATTTCTTGGATACATGATATCGCTGGATGAAGCAGAAAATGTTTCACCCAGTAAATCAGCAATACCCTGTATATCGCTGATTATTGTGCCATTATTTTCCAGCATGGACACAGAGTGNCTGTAAGAAATATTAAGGATAACGGGATTTGCATCAGATGGGAGACAGGGAACAGAGCGAAAAGCTTGAAAAAGCAATAAAAGAAATCCAGACCCTGCAGAATAAAATCACATGTAAAAGATCGGAAGGAAGACGACCAAGGGTCATATTCCTTAACGTACCGCAATCCATACAAGAAGACGACGTAATAAACTGCATCTACAACCAAAACAATATCTGGAGCGGTATAGAAGAACAAAAATTTAAGGAGGAATGCAAAATCAGCACAATACTAACAAGAGGGAGACACGTAGAAAATTGCAGACACATAGTGTTGTCTGTCCCACCATTAATTAGAAACATTCTCATAAGAGAAAAACATATCTCCATCAACTGGGCTACGATAAAAGTTGATGACTTTGTACCTCTTGTTAGATGTTACCGCTGCTGTGGTGTTGGGCATATCGCCAAAAATTGCGATAAAGATCAGTGCTGCTCACACTGCGGAAAAAACCATCGATTCACAGAGTGTGACAGATTGCAAGAGCCGCCATGCTGCATAAACTGCCTCGAAAGTAACAAAAATCTGCCGAACTCAAAAAGACAGCCTACAAATCACGGGGCACTAAATCCGAACTGCCCAATTACAATAAAACTAAAGGAAGCCGCAATTAAAAAAACCGACTATGGCCTGTAAACCCAAAAGACACAATACGCAAGAAAATACTACAACGCAGCAGAATCAGAATAAAGATACTATAAACATCCTCCAGATAAACACACAAAAGAGCAAAGCGGCATGCTCACATCTCGTCCAAGCGGCTAACGAAAAAAATATAGATATAATTGGGATACAAGAACCATACTATATTAAAAACAAAATTGTAAGATTCGGCAGATGGAGGGTGATTTCCGGCAACACGAACAACAGACCAAAAAGCGGCTTCATAATATGTAATCCCGACCTCGACATAGCGAAAATACCCCAACTAAGCAACGAAAACATAACGACCGTTATTTTACAAGCACACGAGCCAATCATCCTTATAAGTGTGTACTTCTCACCAGAGGAAAATGACGACGATTGCATCAGAGAACTTTCTGACGTATTAAGAAAGATCAGCGACAGAAACATTATTATTACTGGGGACCTAAACGGGAAATCTCCCGTTTGGTTCCACGAGAAAGAGGACAAAAGAGGCAGGCTTATAACAGACTTAATGGAGGAATTTAGCTTGATCTCAACAAATATGTCTACCCACCCAACCTTCTTTACACCGTTCGCCAAAGGATGGACAGACATCTGTCTGGTCTCCGATAAAATGGCACACAAGATTGACAATTGCGAGACTCTACTCAGCCCTACCGCTAGCGACCATCGCTACATCCTAACTCAAATCCAACAAGAAACACCAATCAGAAACTCTAAACCTAATTCCTTTCAAATAAAGCAGACAAACTGGACAATCTTCAGACACGAGTTTGCCAAAAACTGGCAGAATTACGACTTCCCGGCGACCAACACGCAGGAGGAAATAGAGAATTATGCGAAACACTTCATCAATGCTCTAACACTTGCAGGTGAAAAGGCACTAAAATATAAGACCGTGCCGCAGAGAAAGACGCATTGGTGGAACGAATCGCTTAACGACATGAAACGAGAGGTAAACAGAGCGAGAAAAAAATACGAAAGAAATAAAAACACGAGGGAAGAGAACAAATATAAAAACAACTATAAAAGGAAGCTTACAGAGTATAAAAAATCAATAAATAAAACTCGTACAGAATCCTGGAAGAAATTCTGCACGGATTCTAATAAAAAAGGACCGTGAGACCTTCCATATAACCTTATAATAAAAAAACAAAAATCCTCCTACCTCCCAGACATCACGGACCTCAACGACAGCTCTGACATCAATACCACTATAGTAAATAATATTAGACAAATTCTAGATTACCACTTCCCAGAAGACGATCCTGACATGGACTCAACGAAACATAAAAGTATCAGGAGAACTATTCAGAACCCCATCGACACCACAAACGATAGTCTTTTTACGTTTCGGGAAGTGGATAAAGCGATCAAAAGTATGGCTAATAAAAAATCGCCGGGAATAGATGGGATAACGGCTGAAATGCTAAAGGAAGCCTACAAAGAGATCCCAATAGCCTTCCATCATATCTTAAACTCGTGTCTAATCACTGGGTACTTTCCGAGAGAGTGGAAAATCGCTAACATCAAGCTAATACCCAAAAACGAGAACCCTAAAGAACCAAAGGATTATAGGCCGATCAGCTTGCTGCCCACAATGGGCAAGCTTCTAGATGGACTTATTATCGGCAGGATAAATTGGCACCTACACAACTCGCAACAGATGAATAGCAACCAGTTCGGCTTTAGGCCGGGAAAGTCTACCATCGACGCAGCTCTAAGGGCGAAAAAAGTGATCAATGAAGGATGGAAACAGCATAAGCACACTATTCTGGTAAAAGTCGATTTCCATAAAGCATTCGACCACCTCTGGTGGCCGAGCATCCTCAAACGACTTCGCAATACTGGCTGCCCGAAAAATATTTACAACCTCACAAGAGATTACTTAAATAACAGAAGTGTTCAATACAACGGTAACAGTTTCTCCATTAATCGGCCCACGAACAGAGGGTGCCCCCAGGGATCGCGAAGCGGCCCTGGACTCTGGAATATTGTTTGTGACGAGCTTTTAAATTTATTCAAAAATAACAAGGATATAACGATACAAGCCTTCGCCGACGACCTGCTACTAATGGTGACACATCAGAATGTGGACAAGCTGGAGGAAACGACTAATACTTACTTAAAGCAGATCTACGAATGGAGCAGTGAAAATAAGCTACCCATTAACTACAATAAAACAACAGGAATGGTGTGCACGAGAAGGAACAAGCGCAACAGATTGCAACGACCGCCGAGAATTTTCATCAACGGTAACAGAATCAAAATCGAACAGGAATTAAATTACCTAGGTATATGGTTCGATGATAAACTCAATTGGCATACCCACGTCCGAAACATATGCAGACAAATGGAGCAAAAGACAAACTTGATGAAATGGATCACTGTGAAAATGTGGGGACTTGATTATGCCAACACGAAGCTTATATACTCGGCGGCCATCGAACCAGCACTGTTGTATGCGGTCATGGTATGGAAAGAAGCCCTGGAAAACGTGCATATGAGAAGGAAATTAACATCGATCCAGAGGAAATTCTTGATTAAAATAAATAAGGCATACAACACCGCCCCCACAAATGCACTCCAGATCATGGCCAACACCTTACCGATCCATCTCAAAGCTAAATACATCATATGGAACTGGTACTTAACAGCAGAAGGCGCACATCGCGGATACGACATTCCCGGAAACGACGAGATCTACCATGAACTAAAAAACAACTGTAAAATCATCGATATCACAAGACCCAACTTCCGTATTGACAGGAAGCTAAAAAAAGACGAATTCAGCGAACACCCGGCCGGCAACATCAATTACACAATCCACTGGGATAACGACAACAATAAAGAAATAAGATCTAAATGGAAAATCTATACAGACGGCTGTAAAAATGACAACGGCACCGGTGCGGGACTCATCGTTAAGAATAATAATGATAGGACTACTTATCAGCATTATTACAACATGGCCACACAGTGTACGAATTCGCAGGCAGAGATGTTCGCACTCTTGAAGGCAATTCAGCACATCCAAAACAATATCGACATCTTCAAGGGCAGCATCTCTATCCTGACAGACAGCAAAGCCGCCCTGCATAATCTAAACGAATTGACTCACCCTACCGCCTTAGCAAAAAGACTATATGATGCCGCTAACACCCTCGGAACAGTAAGAAAGCTATCTTTCGGGTGGATTCGCGGTCACAGTGGTGTCAAAGGTAATGAAATCGCCGACAAACTGGCCAAGTTAGGAGCTAGTAGCAACATCTCTCCTTCTTTTACGGACACCCCTCAGGTGTGCGTCAAAAACTACATCATGTCCATCATCGATAGGATCTGGCAACACGAATGGGAAACGGCGGAAACAGGGAGAAACTGCTTCCTGTTTATTCCTTCCATTCAAACCAGAAAGAAAGCTAAACACTACGTCCCAAACAGCCTTACCACGCAAGTACTACTGGGACACGGAAATTTTCCGGCCTATCTTCATAGGTTTAAACTCAGTGAAAATAATAAATGTGACTGTTCCGACGACGAAATCGGCGATGCTGCGCACTTTGCTTTTATTTGCACCAAACACGATAACCACCGTACGAAACTTATTCACGAGTACCTCACCAACAACCCAAGATGGCCCCCAACTGAGCACAAAATATTCGAGAATAAGACTCTATGGAGAACTTTCGAAGAATTCATCTACAACACTGGTGCCCTCGTAGTAAATAACTCAGAACATCAACGATACAACACAGATGACACACCAGAAGACGAGATTAACCTACAAGAAGAGAGCATGGACGATAACTCCGACGAGGAGGAGTCGTTGTAGCTCACCTCCACCAACTGGACTCCAACCAAATACTAATTGTCGCGAAATATTATATGTGATTCTTCCCTAGGAGTAATTATAATGTTTTCATATATTAGGTCAAAGCGACCATATGCTTGTATTGTAAATATTGTATATAATATGAAATTTTGTACTCCCTATTCTATTTGTTTATCGCCATTTTATCTCTGTATTAATTTTATGTATTTTTATGTAATTGTATGTTTTTATTATTACAATAAATGCCGATGCAAGCGCTCTCTGGTCCCATGCCTTCTCTTCACACTTTACTTACCTACTTTTTCACACTTCAAATCTCAAGCTGTCTCTTCTTTCCGTTTCTGACAGGGCATAAGTCTGAATCATTCAGACAGCCCTCTTAAAACTTTAGTAACATGTCTATAGCAAGGGAGAGGGCGTCGAGTCGCGACTGTGGTAGGTAGTGTGTACATCGGCTCTGTCTTTCGATCGACGCATCGAAGTTTCTGTGCTTCAATCGTTGGATTATTATATACCATTCGACTCGTCACAGCTTCAGCTATCGTTTGGCGTCAAGATTATCAAGATCCGTCCAGCCGTTTAGGATCTACAGGACTTTGAACTTTTCGGGTTTTGTACAGCTTTCCTCGGCCCGCTTTTGCCGGTAAGTGGTAAAGTTGTATATCATCGGATAGCGGCTTTTACGCTGTTTTTAACGGTGTTATCATTTTTATTCTGTGTCGATCCGTTTTCATTTAAACGCGACCATAATGTTTTACTTTTCGGACCGCCGTGCGGGCTTTGCGGGCCGCCGGTAACGTTCACCGCTGGGTATTTCTATCCTCGGTTTGACCTCTATCTACTGTGTAAAAATCTTCCCGCTATTCGTGATAGTTTAGTTATTATAACGATTCTTAGTTTTATACCATACAAAGGGGTGAAAAGGTCATTGACCTCGCCACGTGGTCCGGTCCTATCCCCTACCTGACCCTAATTCGGTGCTTCGCTGGCCGTTTTGGGGGTTTCGCTGGGGATTTCTTTAAGTGTATTACATCAAACAACTCAGAAAAATAAGCTGATCTCTTCTGGGCAAATTTTTGTCACTCGGACACTATGACTACTGATATGGAGTGCAACGATACCAATAATAGCTTCGCTGAGGAGGACTTACTAAATACGGTTAATCTGCAACTCGAAATAATATTTAATAATATTCCCTCGAACTCAAATATATCTGTTAAATCAAAAGAACGCGCAAGTGTTAAAGAAGCAGCAGTCAAGATGCACGCGGCTGCAAATCAAATTTTTGGCATGGTTCTTGAACTGAGGGAAAGAGTAAAGGCCTTATCCACTTCATCAGCCCAAATGGACAGGGCATCTTACGCCGACATTGTCAAGAGTAACCAAGGTTACTCTAGTCGCACTACAAGGCTTATAGCTGAAAAATCTGAAGCTCTGGGAGGTGTAAAAAATCCCAAAGTGAATAACCACGAATTTATAGTAGCTACGATTAAACAACCAGATGAACCCGTTTTAATCCCGGAAGAAACACTGGATATACTACAAACTCACGTGGACCCCAAAAAACTGGGGATCAAAATCAAAGCAATACGTCCTCTTCCCGAGGGAGATCTGCGCATACAGGTACACGGTGAGAAAGATATACAAACATTCAAAGAAGCAGTACAAGCGGAAGAGGCCCTTACAAATAAAGTGAAAATAATAGAGAGAAAAAAAACGCTCCCCGAAGATCATATTATTTAATTTACCAACTGATATNCTCAACGACCAGCCGATTGACTCAAACGGAGCCTGATTTGAGCCTCCCGTTTATCCGAAGCAGGGGCCAAAGCAGTGTGTTGGGGACGTTATGTTGCCCCTCAACTACCAGGATCCCCCTTTCCGGCATACGGGACACCACGCACGGCAAACACGTGGGTGGGCGTTCAGATCCCAGGGATGGTGAAGAAGAGTATCTAAACCATCTCTGGGAGGTCCCCTCACCACGGACAGGAACCCACATCGAGGGGTCCAACCAACACCTCCAAAGGATCATGGACCTATTGCCTCAACCAAGCAAATCAAACCCCACTGTCCCAGAAAAGGTGGAAATTAAAGAGAGGGTGATCTCCATGTTTGCCACCATTAACAAGCTGTACAGCAGTTTGGTGGAGCTCAGGGCCACCCGGAGCGCCACAGTGATAACCCAGTGCCAGTGCCAGCAGGCGCAACCTGTGAAAAACCCATCCTACTCCAATATTGTTAGAACGAATATACCTCAAAGTACTACCACGAAAACCATTGCCAGATCA